CGCGCGATGGAAAAGCCCCTCAGCCAAAAACTAGCCCGTTACCGGCAACGAAGCGAAGCGCGTAAAGGGCCCCGCCGTCGAGCCGCGCGTCAGAAAAACGAAATAATAAAAAAAAAGAAAAAAAAAAAGCAAAAAGAAAAAATAAAAAAAGGAAAAAGAAAAAAGAAGAAAAAAGAGCAAAGAGAAAAGAAAAAAAAAACGAAAAGGAAAAAGAAGAACAAAAAAAAAAAAAGAAAAATTTAAACAAAAAAAAAAAAAAAAAAAAAGAAAAATTTAAACAAAAAAAAAAAAAAAAAAAAAGAAAAATTTAAACAAAAAAAAAAAAAAAAAAAAAGAAAAATTTAAACAAAAAAAAAAAAAAAAAAAAAGAAAAATTTAAACAAAAAAAAAAAAAAAAAAAAAGAAAAATTTAAACAAAAAAAAAAAAAAAAAAAAAGAAAAATTTAAACAAAAAAAAAAAAAAAAAAAAAGAAAAATTTAAACAAAAAAAAAAAAAAAAAAAAAGAAAAATTTAAACAAAAAAAAAAAAAAAAAAAAAGAAAAATTTAAACAAAAAAAAAAAAAAAAAAAAAGAAAAATTTAAACAAAAAAAAAAAAAAAAAAAAAGAAAAATTTAAACAAAAAAAAAAAAAAAAAAAAAGAAAAATTTAAACAAAAAAAAAAAAAAAAAAAAAGAAAAATTTAAACAAAAAAAAAAAAAAAAAAAAAGAAAAATTTAAACAAAAAAAAAAAAAAAAAAAAAGAAAAATTTAAACAAAAAAAAAAAAAAAAAAAAAGAAAAATTTAAACAAAAAAAAAAAAAAAAAAAAAGAAAAAAAAAAAAAAAAAAAAATTTAAAAAACAAAAAAAAAAAAAAAGAAAAATTTAAACAACAACAAAAAAAAAACAGAATAGAGGAAGAAGAAAATAAATAGGAAATAAAAGATAAGGAAAAGGCACAGTCGGGCTTTCGGGCTACTTAATTTAATTTAATCTTAGGTGAGGTATCGGCTGTTAGGAAGACACCGGCCACGGGGAAGCAGCTCTTTGCCGTGAGGGCGGCGGGACCCCGGCACAGGTTGCCCGGTGGGGCTGTGCGTGGCGCCCCGTCCCCGGACGGGGCTCCCAGCGACCCCCTCTCCGGCGGGAGGTGCCCCTGCCCCCGGGGCGAGGCGGGGTGCGTGCGTGGGACCCTCCGAGGTCCCGCCCGACCCTCGGACCACCCGCTACTCCCCTCCTTTCGTCACGGTTCAGCCGCAGTTTCCCGCCCGCGCCGCGCCGACGGTGCGCCAGACCCCGCGGCGCCCGGGCATCCCCGACCTCACGCACACGGACACGCACACGCACACGCACACGCACACGCTGCGCGGACACCCCCCCTCCTCCCGAGCCCCCCCCTCCTTCCCCCGGCCCCGCATCCCGCGCGCTGCCGTCAGCGCC